AGCCTGGTCATGAGCTACATTAGGTCCTTCTTACTGCTTATACACCCATAAAATCGGCACTGGGAAGGTGAGCTGCAGCAGTATTGAACCCAGCACTTCTCAAACATTTTGGCCTCAGGACCGTTTTACACTTGGAGAATTTATGGACAGCCCCCCAGGGGTCCTGCTTATATGCATTTTACCTATTGACAGTGCCGTCTTAGACATCAGAAGGGCCAACTTAAACACCTTTATTTACTCATTTAAAAAGAATAAGTCCACTACATGTTAGTGTAAATAACCAGAACAAATTCAAGTTTTCCAAAATAAAAGCCACTTTAGTGAGCAGAGTGGCAGCATAGCTTTACACTTTGGCAAATTTCTTTAATGTCTGCGTTCTCATGACTGCTTCTGCATTCAGTCCCCTGCAGTATCACATTGTGTAGGCTCCGGAAAACACTGTACACTCGTAAGCAGGTGACGGTGGGAAAGGCAAATAACCTCTTGGTAAGGATGTGACAGAGCCTCAGGGACCACACTTTGAAAACTACTGATCTAAAGAGGGGAGAGAAAAATCCTACTGAAGGGTTTGGTGGGAGGGTGGGAGTTGAAGCTGAGTTACAGTGAGAGACCCCAGATTTGTCCCACACCCCAAAGAAAACAAACTCAAGAGGATCAACTGCAGTTGACTTTTGAGCAACATGGGTTTGAACTGCGCAGGTCCACTGATATGTGGATTGTTTTCAATAAATATACTGGAAAATTGGGAGATTTGCAACCACTTGAAAAAACATTTTTGCTAACTATGAATATAGTATATAATACATCTAATCAAAATGTGTGTTAATTGACTTTATAATCAGTAAGGCCTCCAGTCAACAGTAGGTTATAAGTAAAGTTTTTGGGGAGTCAAAGTTACATTCAGATTTTCACTGCGTGGGAGGCTGGGGGGGGGGTCAGTGCCCCTAATACCTGCATTGTTCAAGGGTCAACTATAAATTATTTCTGATGTTCATTCTAACTCTTTAAATTCTATGTGTGGCTTCACTTTATATTTTTACAGCTTTACTTTAATTCAGTAGACATCAAGCGACCATGAGCTAGATCCTAGAGAATCCCAGGATGGGATCCCAGTGAACTTAAATGTTCACTTGATTTGGAGGGTTATCTAAGGACAGGGCAAGGTCACCACCAAAGCTCTAGGTATGGCATCAGGCATGCAGATACGAAGGAAAGGGAGCTAATTTCCAGTTCTATTAAACGAAGAGGTCACATGAAATTTCCTTTATTCCCTCCCCCTTGGACTAGCATGTTGGTAGTGCCCCATCGTGGCTCTTCATTTAAAGCCCGACATTCAGTCTACCTGCCCTATCTAAATTCTCATTTATCACCCATGTCTACCTTACATGGTTGCAGCATGTGCTCCTCCTTCACTGCCTATTTCAGCAGTGTGAGAATCCACTGCTCCATCTGAAGCCTGGACTTCACAGGTCCCTGCAGACCTCTGCTGGACTGACCTTCCCCTCTTACTGCTCCCAGTGAGACACCGCGGCCGTTTTCACGGGCTCAGGCTTGACGTTCCCTCTCCTTTCCCCCGCTAGCCTCCTCACTTCCTGATCTCACTTCTTTGCCAGTTAAATTCTTCAAAGTGCCTTTAACCCATCTTCAACCCTTACTGTTCACTGGCTGCTAATCCTCTACCTCCGCTGTCCTGAAAAGTACTTCACTTGACCCCAGTGTCCTCACCACCAACCATTCTCTTTTACTTTTCTTGAATGAAGAACACATATCCACCTCCTCCATGGTGTCCCTGTTCCCGCAAACCTCTGCCCACTCATGGCCTCCTTACTCTCCTGCATTTTTCTCTGTAGACACATCTGTGTTGGTTGGTATTCTCTACCCCATGAAGTAGGGATCTACAGTTTTATTTACTATTAAATTTACAGCTCCTGCATCAGCGCCTGGCACACAGTAAGCCCTCAGATATTTGAAGGAATGAATGACTGGTCTTCCCCTATTGTACTGTCAGCTCCATGAGGATGGGGCTTTGTTTTCCTCATGTTATATCCTTGGTGCCCAGCATAGTGCCTGGCACCTAGGAGGCACAAAAACATTTACTGAACTAGTGAATGAATCCAGTTGCTATGTAAATTTGTGATTTAAAAAAAAATGCTGCAGTGTTTGGTTGATATAGTTTGCATAGAGTCTTTTGCATCCGTCCCTTCCTGCCGTTACCTCACACCTGGGCTTTAGCAGTAGCTGCCTTTAAAACTGAAGCAGCTGAAAATCCATCCTGCATGCCTGTCTCAGATTATTTCCCTTAAATATTTTGATACTGCTCCTCTGCTCAAGAACTTCTGGTGCCTTCCTGTTGTAGTTTCTAATATACAAACGGGTGGTTTTGCAAAAGCTCTGAGCAAAGCTTCCCATCAGGTACATACTGTACCACCTCTGGTCACAATAGTTTCTATTTGTGTATGCACAGTTTCCATCTACCAACCATAATAGCCCCAGCCATTGAATTGTAGCTTAAGTAAGTGTAAAACAATGTTTCTAGAGGAAACGTGCTCAAGAGTTTCATTTTGGGGAAGCCAGGCACAAAGCCTGGCTTCTAGGGAATTCCCCCTCAAAGCCAAACTTGATTCTCTGAGGCTATGACAGTGGCTGTCTAAATACACCCACCATTCAAGGCTAAATTCTGATTCCATCATGAAATCTTTATGATGAAATCACTTCTCATTTTAGCTAAAAGTGATAGCTTTCTGTCTCTGAAGTCTAGGCTGCTTATTTCCTACCTATCTTATTTATCGCTATTTTTAATTCTTCATGAGTATGACTTATCTCTGATGAGATTATCAGCTCCAGGAGGAAAAAAAAAGCTCTATTCTATAATTTGTGGCATGTAATAAATAGTAAGCATATATTCAATAGTTACTGAATAACTGAAGGAATTAATACCTATTACTTTCCAGACGATACACACAGGCAAGTCAGGAATCTGGTCTTCATAATGGCCAGGTCTGCTCTACTTCTGCAAAGTACCCTACAGACCTGATATCAGGAAGCTGCCTTGGAAGTGTGTGCTAGAGTCTACAATAAGAAATAGCCAAAAGTATGAATGAGTCAGTGCAAAACCTTGGTTAACTGCTTTAGTTACTGTTTATTACATGCTTATAGGTGGCAAGTAATATACAAACAAATCTCTAATCATCACAGCTATTCTGTGCAGAAAATGGGGCTTTTAGATATTGTGATGTGAGTTATATTCAGTGTCCCCAAGCTTTTAAGGTATGGAGCCAGGATTTCAAAGCTAGCATTTCAACCAGTCTCTCTGTAGAGCAGGTTGAGATGACCTGTAATGACCTTCTGCCTCACTGCCTGGTCTCAGTTGAGTGTGTTTGCCTGGTGGGTACAATGAGGCATCCTTCTTAAGCCCTTACGATTCCTAAAACTGCGTAATCAGAGGGGATCCTGCTCACCATTCCCAGACCAAGAAGGGCCATTTTTAATGGTCACATGAGCAGCTCCTCTCCCAGTTAGTACCTTTAGTTTCCAAGCCAATGTTCTTTTGACATTACCACAGATTATCAGCTCTGGAAAAACAACTCAAAACTTGAGTCAGACACTCCATATGCTGTTCAAGGATCTTCCCTGCAACACTGTTTATAATAACCAAAAATTATAAACAACACTAATGCCTATCAACAGTAGAGCAGTTAAATTATAGTACAACCGTATGATGGGAGTACTGTAACATACAGCTGTTAAATGACAATGTCCAAGTACATTAAAGAGAAAAGGCAATGCACCTGAGTTTGCACAGTCACACAAATTCACTGAAATACATTCATTCAAGAACTATCTGTAAAGCATTTTAAGGTATCCAAGAACCAAATGTATTAATCGGTTCCCTGTGAGGAGCCAGGATCTGTGTGAAGCAGGTCTCGAGGAAAAAAAGTAACTTGTACTTTTTGGTAAGCTGTACTTGTTTTTTTTAAAAAAAACCATGATACTTGACTTTCTATGAAGTCAAGACTGAAAAAAAGGAAGTTGATAAAACAAGTAGAAATATCCAACAGATACTTGAAAGGGCTAGGGCATATGAGGAACTTACAAAGGAACTTGAAACATCTCTGCAGTTCTATAATGAGGATGGCAGTTAAGAGCAGCCTCCTTTTAGGATAGGTGGGAACTTACTCTACAACTGGAAAAAACGGGCTTATGATAAGCCGAACACCGCTTAACTGGTGGCCCAGGTCTTCCTAACCACACGATATGGAGATGTTTACCTGTATGTAGTGGGAAACTGACGCCGGGCGCATCTTACACAATGGGTCCATCATCTCCCGGGCTCAGCGTCAAGGTGGCCGGGGCTGTGAATCTGGAACTACCCTCCCTAGTTTGCCAAGGAGGCAACTCCGGCTTCACGAGGTCACACGGCTAGGATATGACTTCGACCCGGAATGACCGAGGCCACATTCCTAACACCTGCTTTGGCCGGCGACTCCCGCCTTGTAAACCTCGGCAGCCACCAGCCTCCTCGGCGTGCAGTCCGCTGGCGCGAGATGCTGCGGGGCCAAAGCTGGCGCCCCGGGAGCGGGGGGTCGAAGCGGGAAGGTGGCGTGGGGGTGTCCGAGTTCGCGGCGCCGACAACCCGGGGGCCCGGCTGAAGCCCCGCCCCCACAGACACTGCTGCGTCTTTTCCTCTCCGCAGCGCTTGGGATTCTTGAAGATGAAGGAGCAAGTCTGTCCCAGATCACGGCCGTGCTTCTCCGGCACTCTCGGCTTCTTTCAGTTATGGCTCCACAGCAGCTCCGCATGCCAAGCCCTCAGGGCCGCGGGCGGCGGCGGCCGCGGTGTCCACCTAAGAGACCCATGAAAGCAGGCTCACACCTGCGGGACTCTGCCAACGCGCATGCGCGCTCTGCGAGCGCGGAGAGGGCGCGGCTGGCCGCAGCTGCGACTGCGCAGAGGTGGTGCCAGACTTTGCGCCTGCGCAGTGGCCGGGCGGGGCGGGAAGGAGGGAGGTGGCGGCGGTGGCGGCGGCGGCTGCTGCTGAAGAGGAGGAGGGGGAGCGGAGGGAGGTGTTTCTGTCAGTTCCGGCTGTTTGTTCGGGAAGTGGATCCGCCGCTGCCGGAGCAGCCCGGAGGGAGCTGCGGAACGCGAGGCCAGCACCGACCCCGCCCGCCCGCGCGCCCCTCTCCCGCCCGCCATGGCCCGGGACTACGACCACCTCTTCAAGCTGCTCATCATCGGCGACAGCGGTGAGGGCCGAGGCAGCCGAGGCGGCGTGGGCCCTGCCGGGCGCGGCCCGCGGGGGCCTCGGAGCGGGCTGGCTGGCGGGGAGGTGCCGGCCCGCGCGGGGCTGGCGGGCGGGGCTGCCCGGTGGCCGCCTGCCGCACGGGAGTGCCGAGGGGCTCCGGGCCGCGCCGGGCTCAGGCTGGGGCTGCGGGCTGCGGAGCCGGGGGGCCGGGCGCCGGCTCCACTACTCGCGCCCCCTGCCTCATGTGTGACCTTGGTCAAGTCGCACGATCTGTGGAGGGGGGACACCCGGGTTTCGAGTTCTGGGGCTAGCAGCTTCCTCACTCTGTGACCTTGGGCAAGTTGTTTCGCCTTTCTGAACCTCAGTTCCCTCATCTGAGAAGTGGGGACTTGCCTCTCTGGGTGGCGAGTGTTTGATGAAAAGTGCTTAGTTCCCTACCTGGCATAAAGTAAGGTATAGGTAGATGTTAACTATTGATGTGATTATCAGGATCCTTTGTAAGCCTCAGTTTCATCCTCTGTAAAGTGGGGATATTCCCACAACCTGCCTCCTGGGATTACTTTGAGGTTTAATTGAGGTAAGGCAGGGAAAGCACTTCATACAGGGCCTGTCACATTCCTGCTGAATTATATCGCTGTATGTATGGTTCCATTTCCTCATCTGTGAAAAGGAATAATAATGGAGCTACTTCACTGGGCTGATTGAGTATTCAGTGAGATAATGCATAGTGTTCTGAACAGTGCCTGACACACAGTGAGTGCTCAATACCTGTTTGCTGTTATATTCTGTATATTAGACAGCATATACAGTATTGGAGGTGCACCAGCCAATATTACAAAAGGACTCTTTGACTACATATACACTCCTGGAGAGCTCCAAGCTCAGGGTACTGCTCCATCTCCAGTGCCTAGTGCAGTGCCTGGCACCCAGGAGGTGCCTAAAATGCATTTGCTGAATGAATGAATATTAAGTGTCTGAAAAGATAGGCCCATTTCCTGGAAGGGGTGGCGGGTTTTATAGGTGTTTAGAGTGTGGCAGGTAAGCAAGTTTATGGGGTGACCAAAGGTCAGGGAGCCAGGCCCCAGGAGGTTTATAGGAGCATAGCTGAGGTGCTGGGAGTATATGATGGGAGCATGCCAAGTTTATAGACCAGACCTGAGTTGAGTGTGGGCAAGGGGGTCATGTGACTGAAGGTAGATGCCATGGGTGATGGAGCCCATGGATTGTTAAGGAAAGAGGAGACCAAATTAAAGGGGTTGTAAGAGTTATAAGACCCTGATGTAGGAGTGTTGAGTGTCATAGCTGGGCTAGGGAAGTGGGTGGGTTTTGGTCTCATTGTGGAGCTGGATTGGGACGTGGTTAGTGGTTTGGATCAGGTGAAGGATGGCTGAGATTTCCGTGGTTACTGGTGGAAGGAGAGGTAAGGGGAAAAGTTAGCGGCTAGCTAACTAGACTAGCTGTGGTTGGGAAGGAGTTGGAAGGTAGAGGGTGGATTTGTTGTGGGTTGAAAGCAATCAAGCCAGGCAAGCTGTGTAAATGCGTCTTTCGATATGGCCTCTGGCTTTCCTCAGGGTCCTGAGGCTTATGCTTTACAGGATTTGATTTCAGCCCTGGCCTTGTTCTGAGGGCCTGGCACCAGGGTGATTTCTCTTCTTTTGGAGTTAAAGTCAGCCCACCAGAGTCCAGGGTTCTTTGTCCCTCTGCAAGATACCTAGCACCTGTGTGTTGATACCCAAAAATGAAAAGCGCAAGCTCAGCAAGAAGATGCAGCTTGTTGGCTTTTCCCCCCTGTAAAACGCAGGAGATGGTTTTGGCTCCCTTTCTTACAGTACATTTTGCCCGGTGTATTGATTTTTCACTCAGAAGTCAGGTGTGGGAGAAGACTCCCTGGGTCAAGATTTCTGTGGTCTGGCTCTTAGTTCATCTGAGCATGTAGGACTACGGTGTGTAGAGCAGACAGGTGCTTTGCAGTTTAATTTCTCCTGAGAGTGAGCTGATCCCCAAAGCTGAACACTCACAAGACTGGGAGATGGTAGCTCCTGAAGTTCAGACTAAGCTTTGGCAACTGAGCAAGGACACTGACATCATGCCCTCCCCTGAACTGGGCTCCTTCTGTGGAGCTTCCTTAGGTTTATCAAATGATTTCACACTCTCTTATCTGGTTCTCACCCACTGCATGTGTGATTTGTCAGATAAGGAAACTAAGGCTCAGAGGAGCTGACTGACTTGCCTGAAGTCACACAGCTCATCAGAGGCAGAGCCAGAAGATAATGTCCTGCTCTGTATGTGTGAGCAGCTGGTATCAGGCCTGGCAAACAGCAGGCCCTCAATGAATGTTAGTTTCTGCTTTATAAATCTAGAAGAGTTCTTCCCACTCTGACACATTGTACATGCTTCTGGAACACATTCCCTCAGCTTTTGCAGCTTTTCTTTATGCCTGAGATTCTACACTTTCTCTTATACCCCTCTGACATTGGCTCTGATTTGTAGTAGCATTTCATCTGATCCATGGGGCCAGCCCTACTCATTCTTAGAACCTGGGGCTGGAGTGGCGGTTGGAGATCTAGTTAAAGCCTTTCACTTTACAGATGAGTGACCTGAGGCTTACTGAGGGGAAGTGACTTGTCTGACGTTGTACAGTGAATTGGTTGCTGAGCCAGGATTAAAATTGAGAACGCTTCACTCAAAGGTCTAAGGGTCTATAGCCCAGAACTGAAGTAAAGAGGAGTGGGGGTCGATAACCCAGGGGAGGAGCAGGGCTGAGGGTCGGCATGGAGGCCTTTTGAGGACCAGAGCTTCTGTGCAGTGTCTGTGTAGGCCCAGGGGCAGAAAGCAGGGAGGGAGGGAGTTTGATGCAGGGAGAGTGGTGATGACTGAGAGTTGTGTGTGAGGTGTTTGCAGTATAAATCTGTCTCTCGTGGCTCCCAAGAGGCATCAAGAGCCGGACCCATGCTCCGTTCAGGGTGGAGGGTGACGAGCTGGGCTGGATGGGCTTCATACTCGATGTGGCCTTTGGGAAGCTGTTGACTGAGGCTGTGGTGAAGGTAGATGATACCTGTCACTTCCTTCGGGCAGCGCTGGTGGGTGAATGGTAGCCTCGTGTTTTCCCAAGGAGGCTTCTTCCTGGGAGTTGAGGAGACGGCCTTTCTCAGAGTGGGTTTCTGTTCCGGAGGCTGGTGTCAGGGCCAGAGCAGCAGCTGGTGTGGTGACCGTGGTAGTCGTTCTACAGCCTGGTGATTTCCAGCAGCTCTGCACTGGAGCCTGGGGGTGGATAGTGGGGACCCAGGCTGGAGGGAGCACTGCTCTTTCATTGCTTCATGAAAAGAGCACCCCCTTATCTGTTTTAGATACATGGGAGTCAGATAAAATATAATTTTTAAAAGATTCTGCTGTCCCCCAAAGTTTGAAAACCACTGCTTTGGCTTCTGTTAATGCCGCAGTCATAGTGTTACACAGAGTAACTGTCAGCGTGACTGATGTTGGCTTAGTCATAAGCTCCTTAAGTACTGTTTGGTGCCTACTAAGTGCTGGGCCCAGCTTCCAGCACTGTGAATGTCCGGGGTGAGTGAGACGAGCTCTCCTTCCTAGAGGAACTCATAGCCTGGTGGCCCAGACGCAAGCTTTCAGCTGAGTAAGCAGACCCAGAGGGCTCCAGGAGGAAACAAAGGAGCCAGCAGGGCTGACGGGGTGGTGGCGTTGGGCAGAGCGCCGTGAGGGACCCAGCCCAGGACTTGGGCTCTCCTTGGGCGCAGCAGGAAGCCTCGCAGAGGCAGCAGTGAGGAAGTAGCTCTGAGCGGCTGCTGGGGCCGGGCGCAGGGCAGGTACTGTGGGGGCTGCTCAGGGCCACACTGCCAGCCTGCTTTGGAAAGGCAAAACCCAGCTTTCCTCCATGAAACAAGTTCTTTGGGCATCCCTGGACAGCTCACTCACTTGGAGAAGTCCCCAGAAGAGCTCATCAGAGAGGAGTCTGGGGTTAGGTAGGTGTAGAGAAGCACAGCTGGGTGGGGCCGGGGTGCAGGCAGTGGATGAGGATCTGATGGAGGCCCCGGGCTCCGACCACAACATGCATGTGTACGCACGTTTGCCCCCAGCTTGGGGGTTTCTGAGAGCCTGCATTCAGATCTCCTCAGACCTGGCTTTGTAGCACTGCTGCTGAAAATCTAACAGGAGTGAGATGGGACAGCTTGTTTGGGGTCTTTTATTTTATTTCCTTAAACAGATGCAAGCAGTATACATTGGAAAGAGTGTTAGTTCTCCAGAGCACACTGCCCTAGATTCACTTCTCAGCCACTTCCTGCAGAGCCCCTGGGACCGGCTGCTTAACTTTTGGGGGCCTCGGTTGCCTCATCACAGGAGAGGCAGTTGGAATTATAGGAGCAGCAAAGTGCCTACCACACACAGCGCTCTATGCCTGCCAATTCTTTCCTTCTGTGGTTGGTTGATCTATCTGGCCTTAGGGGTGGCAAGGGTAGGGGATGGGACAAGAGGTCACAGGACAGGGACCCTGGCAGGCTAAAGCTGCTGTATATGAAGTAAATGGAAGGCAAGCTTATGAGGGTTTTGCCTGTTCTTGGAACACGAGTGCTGGAGCTTCGTGGTGGTGAAATGGTCTGAGCGTGCAGGAGCTGTCAGGCTGATGGGCGTGAGGCAGCCCCCCAGCCAGCAGTGTCATCAGCGGGGGAAGATGGCTGGCAATTGGCTTGAGTTGTCTGGGCCTCAGTTTCCTCCCCTGATGTTCTCATGGGTTCCTCCCAGCTCCCCAGACCCTCATCTCACACTACACACAAACGAGCTCCACACACGATGTACAGGTTTCTGGGGACGATGTTTTAGACTCTGAGAGCCCATATCATTTGGCTGACCTTCCCCTGCTTCATTTCTGTCATCTGTTGTCTTGCTCTGGGTTGCTGGGTGGCCCTCAACTCAGGGCCGGAGTCCCTTCCCCGCGCCCCCCAAGGGGCCGTGGCAGCTTGTCTTACACTAGTGAGAGAGGTGTCCCTGGTGTGTGGCTGGTGGGGGAGACCAGACACAGCCCTGGAGTGAGATGGGTCCTGCCGAGCCTCTTCAGCTTCAGGAGGCAAGAGGCAGCTTATTGTCTCCCTGTCGAAGGGTGGGGGCCAGGTAGGGGGTTCCTGTACCCCCTCTCACCTCCCACTTTCTTTCCTGCAGGTGTGGGCAAGAGCAGTTTACTATTACGGTTTGCAGACAACACTTTCTCAGGTGAGTGTGCTGCGGGGTGTTCTGTTTGAAACCCCTTTCCCCGTGCTGAACACACTGGCCTCGGCTTGACTGCTGGAGGGGAGGAGGGACGGAGGGTGGCGGGGTGAGAAAGTCTCTGTGGTCAGTCTGAGCCTATGTGGCTCAAAACAATCCTTTTGCCCGCCTCTCCTTGTTCTATGGGTCTTTTTCTGCCCCGGCATTTCAAAAACAAAAAAAAAGTTTAAAAATATTACAAGTTAGAACATGCCTATATAAAATTTCAAATAGGAGGATTTAATAAAGTGAAAAATGAAAGCTGTCCCTTCACCTGGGTGCCCCCAACCCCGCCCTGCCAACCTGGTGCCCTGGTGGCGTCTGCTCAGTGCTATGTGTGTCTTTTTCCTCAACTCCACATGCAGAGGGGCAGCACCTTATCTTCCCCTCAGCCTGTCAGGGTCTCCCTTCCGGGTCTGTGCAGACCTCTGCTGCTTTTGAGTGGCTGTGGCTGCACATCACGTGTTAGCAGTGCTCTCTCCATGGTTGCTTTCGGGCTGTGGCTTCTCAGTGATACTGCAACACTTGGGGTCACTGTCTGTTTTTTCTTGCATAGAAGTGGAGTTACGAGGTCAAGAGGTCTGTGCGTTTACAGTTTTCACAGATACCGCCAAGTCGCCTGTCAAAGAGGTTTTCCTAGGTTAACTGATGCTCCCACTGAGAGGGACCGAAAGCGCCCCTTGTCAGCTCTGATAAGTGCTGGATCTTAGTACTCTTCCTTTTTGCTAAGCTGGTAGGCAGAAAGCTCTCTGTTTTCAGCGTGTCCGTCCCTGATCACTGGTGAAGTTGGGCATGTTTTCATTTGTTGACTACATTGCAGAGGCTTCAGGTTGACTTGGCTCCTCTGATACAGGACTGAAATGTGACTGTCCTGGGACAGCCCTGACATGCGTGAGGGTTGGGCTGCCGGTAGGCAGTGATTACATGGCAGCGCCTCTTGGTGGAGAGGTGGGTTTCTCCTGACACCCGTCTTGCAACACCACTGGTGGTGTGAAGTTGGAAAGAGCTGTCTTCTCTGTGCGACTGTGAACGTGACTGAGTCTCAGCTCGTCTGTAAAGTGGAAATAATTGCCCCTCCCACATAAGGTCATGGCGAGGATTCCCTGAGGTAGCGCATCTGAGTGTCCAGGACGAAGCACTCACTGAACAGCCCTGTTTTGCTGTTGCTTTTAGTTTCTGTTCCAGAATGGTAAATGATGGGCAGCTTCTCATTGTGCCCCAAACCACTCCTTTCCCCCTTGTCCCCTGATCCCCCCATCTCGTCAGCTTTCCTCTCCTGAGTGTCTCTCCCGCTCTCCATTTCTGCTGCCCCTGTTGTGGACCCACCACTGTGGGTTCTAGCCTGAAGCTTACAGCAGCTCCTACCCATCCCATCGCAGGCCCTGAGCTCGTCTTGCTAATACATGTAATAAAGATCCCCTGGAGGGATCTCCCCTATTTAAAAACCACCAGCCCTGGTTGGAAACCACTGGTCTTCATAATCTATTTTCAGCTCACCTTCCTAGCTCCCTTTCTGATGTTGTTCGTGCCTTATTTTATTTTTTGCTTGCTCAACCATCGGCTGTGCACAGGGTGCAACAGCGGGAGACGCAGGGCCACGCGCCGCGGCGGCACCCAGGGCCGGACGCCGCCTGGTTTTCTGGATGTGCTCTCGCTCTGCTTTTGCTTCAGCTCGTGCGCTCTGGGTGGGGCGTCTTCCCCCACGTAATCTCAGCCTTTGAAATTGGACCTGTTTAAGCTCGGCCCAAATATGACTTCCTCCCAAAGCCTTCCTTGACGACCTCCTCACCTTGAACTTTGACCTTTCCTATCTGTGTTCCACATTTCACATAGTCAGTGGTGTGTATGTGTGTGTCGTGTCTTTTCCATTGTTACCCTAAAGGCTCCAGATGAAGCTGAGAACATGTGCTCTTTTTAGCAATGGGGCTTTGTCAGCCTGGACAGCACTGTTACATCAGCCGAAAATTCTCTTCAACTCCATTTTTCACACAGATGCCCCCAGAGAACTATTTACAATGCAGCTCATGCTCCCATTAAAGCCCTTCAACCTTCCCCATCACACACCACACAGAAGTCTAAGCTCTTGAAAAACGGCACAAAGGCCCTGAGATCTGGCCTCAGCCCCTGCCACCTGCCTCCCACCGAGTGCTTGACCTCACATGACCACACACACACACATCAGTGCTATTTTAGCTGCTGTCTCCTCTGTTTGGAGCAGTGTTTTTCAAATTGCAGTTTGTGACTTGGGTGTATGTTAGGAAGCTAATTTTATGAATCATTCAAAACGTTTGGAATATAATAGAGAAGAAAAGGGCAGGCTGTGTCACAGGCCGTTCTCAGGCTGCAGCTAACAGCCCATGCCCTGGCTGCTGCCGTTGAAGGTGCCTCTCCCCTCGCCCCAGTCTCATCCTCTGCTTCATTTCCTTTGTATGCTTACCACCCTTGCAAACTTTGTACCTTTGTATCCTGTCCTGCTCTCACCTCAGCTGTGGGCTTCATCAGAGTGGGGACCTTGTCTTTCTTGGTCAGGGCTGCGTCCCTGGGACATTGGACGTGCCGGGTACAGAGTGAGTGGGGAGGGGTCTTGGAGACTGCTGAAGCTTAGGACATGGTCTGCTGTGTGCCCTATGGGCCTTGCTAACATGCATGTATGTGCAGGCAGCTACATCACCACCATTGGAGTAGATTTCAAGATTCGGACCGTGGAGATCAATGGGGAGAAAGTGAAGCTGCAGATCTGGGACACGGCTGGGCAGGAGCGCTTCCGCACCATCACCTCCACGTGAGTCAGGCTGTGCTGCTCCCATTCTGACCCCTTGCCACTGCCATTGAGACACGGTGGTGGGTGTCCTGTGGCAGACATCTCACTGAGGTGGGCCTGAGGCCACAGTGGGTGCTGGTGAGTGAGAGGAGGAGGGGATGAGGTGTGGCTGCTTGCCCGCCTGTGGGTGGCAGTGGTTGAGCACCCTGGCCGTGGGGGTGGGCAGGACAGTGCATGTCAGCCAGATTACCCACCCTCTGGCTTCATTTCCTTTGTAAAATGGGATAACAGTGATACTGGCTTCCCAGGTGGTCATTTAGCTAGTGACAGTTGCTCTTGTTAGGTGTCAGATGGGGGCTGGAGCAGGCGGGCATCTGTCCCTGGGCGGGGCCTGCAGTGAGCATGTGTGTGCTGTGGTCCATGCCTCCCCAGGTCCCCAGCGCTGCCCATGCAGTTCTGAGCCCTGGTGAGCTGCTGGAGCCCCCGTGTCTCAGCAGCTGGGGCCAGAGGCACCTCCTGTTTGCCTGCTGAGAGTCCAGGGTCAGGACGTCTGGGCATTGACCCCAGATGTCTTTACTCTGGGGAGGTACTGTTGCTTAGGGCTCTACCTACTTCATTTCATTTAATTCTGATAAAGAGTCTTGTGATAATCTCCATTTTATGGTTGAAAAACTGAGGCCCGGAGAGGGTGGAGTGACTTAGCATGGTTGATTAGTCAGGAGTTGAATTGAAGTCCATCTGATGCCAAAGCTCTGGCCTTCAGTCAGTCCACAACCCTGCTGTCTGCTTGCCTGTCACCCAAAGGGACTGGGCCTGCGGCAGATGCTCTAGTGTCTCTTGTAGGTGAAAACCAATCAGAGAATTCAGGGTGACCGAGAATATTGGGCCTGTGGCCATGAGAAATGTTTCAGGCAGGGCAGTGGGCCTGGGGTGCCTTGGGCCCTGAGAGCAGAGGCGACACAGCCACCATAAAGGTCAGCTCCCTTCGGGGGGGGTGTGGGGTGGCTGCCCCCTGCATCCTGCTGGGAGACTGGAGTTACTCAGCAGCCTGAGGGCAATGTGTGTCTGTTTGGGGTACTTGAGAAGGCAGGGCTGGGTGGTGGTGCTGCACAATGGCTGGCCCATCTGGGGAGGTGAGAATGTTTTGTCTTGGGCTCCCCAACTCTGCCCTCATAAGGCAGAAGGCACTGCACGCCCTGCTGAAGGGCCACAAACACTTGGCGCCCTGTGAGGGTAGCTGACAAAGAAGGAAGGAGTCTTGGAAGAATTTGGGAGTTAGTTTTCTTTTCTGGGCTCGGGGCAGTCAGGTGCAGTAGTGTGGCCTCTCGGATGCGGGGCCTGCCTCCTGTTAGCCTGCCGAGAAAGGGTTCTGTTGTTATCTCTTCAGTGTGTCTCTTGGTGGCTGGGGTTTGCCAGCGCTGAGCAGTGCAGCTGGGTGAGGGGTGAGCAGAGGGTGTTGAATGGTGGGCTGAGTGGGAGGTGGCGAGGAAGGGAAGCCCTTCTGTACCTGCCCTGGGCCTGGGAGTCAGACATGGGTACGCAACTTGCAGCAGGTCACTCCACTGTGCCTCACGGCCTCACTGGTAAAAACAGTGACCTTCCTGTCTGTCCATCACACCAGGTTGTTGCAAAGATGAATAAGGTAATGGACACAGAGTGCTGACTGCTGTGCCGGCAGAGCTCAGCTGTGGTGTGGTGGTGGTAACAAGATGCCCAGAAGCACTGGTGCTCTTTCCAGAGCTCAGGGCCCCTGACTTTGTCCTCCAACTAGTTCTCTCTCCTGAGAGGCTTACATCCCCTGGTCTGGGTCCCAGAGAAGGCACGGGGGCTGGGCACACTGCGGGCTTTGTGCTGGGGCTGAGCCATCTTCAGGAGTCCTCAGCAGAGGAGAGCTTGGAACTACGTCCCACCGCTCACGCTTCCTTTGCTGGCAGGGAACAGGTGTCTGGCCTCCTTGCTCCTGGCACTCTTGCACCTGTGTAGGTGGGAGTCCACCAAGTGGAACTGGTGATGACCTGGCTCTCCTGGGGCAGCAGCTGGTAGGGGGCAGGGGGCAGCCGGCTTGATTGTTAGGGCTCCCCAAGGCTGAGGCGCTGCATCCCCAGAGGGTGGAACCTGAGGGGTGCAGTGCAGCTGGCATCTGAGGGGTGGAGAGACAGGATAGGAGAGACAAGTTGGGCTTGACACCAGAGCACAGGCTCAAGGAAGCTTCCTCCACTGCTCCCCTGCCACTGTGTCAGGGGCCCCAGAGTGGCACTGGAGTAACAGTGACAGTAAAGAGCCACCACCCCTTGACGGTTCACCACTTGGGGGCATTTGCAAAAAAGTATGTTCTCTCTTTTATTCCTTACCACTTCCCCAGGAGTTAAATCACCGGTGACGCCATTTTACAGTTGAGAGAACTGAGCTGTGCCGAGGTGCATGCAGTAACCTTCCTGGGTCCCACAGCCTTTCAGAAATTCAGCAGGGGTGGCCTTTGCCCTGTGGCTGGGCCTAGACTGTGGAGAGCTGGCCGGAGTGCCAATGGGCAGGCCGAGGATGTAGCTGCCCCGCAGCCTGGCTAGCCCTCTCCTCGCTGTGCAGTGGTGCCCCAGAGCCGCTGCCCGGGGATGCTACGCCCCTGCAGGCTTGGGGCTGAGTGCTCAGGCCCTGACAAGCCTTGGGCCAGGCGGCAGCCGGCAGGTCAGGAGGACGCAGCCTGCTGCGGGCAGTGGTTCTCACCCTTGTTCATGGAAGCCCCTGATGAGTGAGAGGCTTGGCAGCCCCAGGCGACTACAGTGCTGGGCAGGGCTGTCACCTGGCTGCTAGGGCAGCGGGCGCTCTTCTGGGAAACGTGAGGCCCTGCCTTCTGCTTCCTCCCGGGACTGCTGGCCTCCCTGGGTCCTGAGTTGTGAATGAACGGGGGCACCGGGTCTGGAAAGGAATGCCTTCCAGACCTTCTGACTTTAGGGCATGGGGTCTGTGCGTGTGGTTGGTGGCATATCTGGGACACCCTCTTCCCAACCGTGCCTGGATGCCTGGGGCCAGCATGGAAGAGCCCAGGGTGGAGGAAGGGAGTGAGGCCTTCACATATGTATATCTTCTTGGGATGATTATTTCATTAAGATTTGAGGGGATAAAATTTTTTTGAATGTTAAAACAAGGACGGTGACAGTATGTCAAATCAAAACATAGCTGAATTAAAAAAATAAGAACTTAAAAGGAGTTTCAAGTTAGTGGTGGGTGGACTCTCAACAACCTGGTTGGCCACCACAGGGCTGAGCACTCCCTGCTCACTGGGGCGTTGGGGGCCAGCGTGAGAAGCTGCACTGCCAAGCATCCTCTCCTGCTGATGGGTGTGTGTGGTCCTAGCATGTCAGGTGTGGACTTAGGGTCTTGTGGGAAAGCATTTGCCCCTCACCATTTCCCCTGCTGCTGTTTGGACGTGGGCTGCAGTTTAGGCTGAAGCTCTGATGCAGACCCTGGCCCTGCAGGTATTATCGGGGGACCCATGGGGTCATCGTGGTTTATGACGTCACCAGTGCTGAGTCATTTGTCAATGTCAAGCGGTGGCTTCATGAAATCAACCAGAACTGTGATGATGTGTGCCGAATATTAGGTGAGGCTGGATCCAGCGGGGGTGTGGAGGGATGGGTGTTTCCGCAAGGCCAGGCTGACTTTGCTTTGCCTTGAAGTGGGCAATAAGAATGATGACCCCGAGCGGAAGGTGGTGGAGACAGAAGATGCCTACAAATTCGCTGGGCAGATGGGGATCCAGTTGTTTGAGACCAGTGCCAAGGAGAATGTCAACGTGGAAGAGGTGAGGCCCAGACCAGAGTGGGTGGGGGTGCACCCAGCTCTGCTCCCTCACCCTGGCCCTCCTCTCCCTACTCCTAGCCCTACCTAGGGCACCCAGGTGGCTGCCAGAAAACATCATAGCAGCTGCCATTCATTGAGTGCCTACTGTGTGCTAGATCCTTTAAAGATGTTAGCTCATATCTCCACAGTCTTCTAAAGTAAATTACGTCCACATTGCAAATGGGAAAGTGAGGTTCAAATTAAGGAATATCACCCAGCTTCGAAGAGGCTGAGTCAGTCTTAGATCTGTTGCACACTGCAGCCATGCACTTAGTCCTCTGCCTCATGGTCTGTCCTCTAGCCCCACCATTGTCACCCCTTCCTGCATTTCCTGGGGCCTTGGCCTCCCTGCAGAGACCAGGTTGCTTTCCTGTGGCCTCCAGAGCTCAGATGGGCATCTGCTTCAAGTCCCCGGGAGATTCCTGGGGATGCACATTCCCTGCAGGCTGCCTGAGCCTCCAGCCCAGGGCAGCTTCCCTTCCCTTCTGCTGGGCCTGTTGGAAAGCAGTTTGGTTGGGAGAAAAGCTGGACCTTTTGCCGCAGGCCCAGGCTGGCTGTGCTTGTGGCTCTGGGGGCAGTCCTGCTCCACAGTGTATGGAACCCGGAGGCTGAGGGAGCCGGGACCCCCGTTGGATCCTGGACACCCAAGTGCACAGCAGCAGGGAGCCTGGGCGCCTCAAAGTCAGGCCGGGGTCACAATACGGGTCTTTCTGCATGGGGGCCGTGTAACCTCGGGTGGTGACTTAGCCTTTCTAGGCCCATCTGTTCCTTCTGTAGATTGGGGTGTGGTAGGAGCCCCTGTCTCCCAGGTTACAAGGAATAAGGGAAGTAGATTATGTCAAGTGCTTGATGCCTTTTCTGGTGGAGGGGAGACAGGACGGTGGGTTGGCGGGTGAGTTCCAGGCAGGACACACAGTGAGGGGCCGGGAATGGGCCAACCTGGGTCGTTCCGGCCACCCCAGGGCAGGGGCGCCCTACCCGCCTCGTCCAAGTTTTCCAGCTGAAGGAAGAGGGTTCCCTTTCTTGCCTTAAAAAGACCGACTGGAAAACCCCCGAGAGGCAGATTTCCCGAAGACACACTTACGGGTCTTTGATATCGGTCCTTTTTGACCTTTGTCACCCACCACCTCCTCCTCGAAGGGGTTTGCGAACATACAAACAATGCGCGAGTGAAGTAGACAGCCGGCCGGGAGGCAGCCGGCGGGCCGCGGGGCGGCCCAGCCGCGGGGCGGCCCCGGGTCTGAGGCCTGTCGCTCCGCCGCAGATGTTCAGCTGCATCACGGAGCTGGTGCTGCGCGCGAAGAAAGACAACCTGGCGCGGCAGCAGCAGCAGCAGCACAACGACGTGGTGAAGCTCACGCGCAACAGCAAGCGGCGGAAGCGCTGCTGCTGACGGCGGCCCCCGCCTGGCAAGAGTTCCTCGGCGCGTCTGCCGGGAGGCGCCGCCGGCCCGCCCCGCCCCGCCGTGCCGGAAGGCGTTGGACCCGCCCCCTCCAGCCCCGCCCCGCCCCGCCCGCCGAGGCCGGCGCCGGGACTGACGGACGTCTGTACATATGTAAATCGCTTGGACCGGCTGCTCCTCCGCGCCCGACCGCCGGCCTCCCGCCCTCCCGTCTCGTCGCCAGCGGCCTCCCGAGGAGACGATGGAGCCCCACCGCTGCCCGCCCGGCTGCTGGAGCTGGGCCACGTGTCACCGGTTCCCGACAAGCTGGCAGCCTCCATCCTGGGCACGTAGGGGCCCAGCTCAGCTCCCTCCCTATCCCCTGCCCCAGAGCCACTCCGGCAGCCGGGAAAGCTGGCCTTGAGGTTGGCCTGGGGGCTCCCGTTAGGGGCCCTGCCCTTGGTTTGCAGGAAGAGTTACTGCTGTCCTTTGGCCAACAGATTTCTTGTTCTGCCTTCTAGATGCCTCTGAGCGACAAGCCCAGGGGAGCCATGGCTTCTAATTTATACCGACTTGTTTCAGTTCCAACACAAAGGTAGGGGTGTGCAGGGATGGGGCTTGTGGGGGTCTAAGGAGCATTGTTCTAACAGATTTAAAAAAAAAGAAGCCAAATCAAAATTATTAAGTTCCTCACACTGTTTTTCCCTCTTCCTGAAGTTGGCACAGGAGCAAAAGTTGTGACCTTCCCCCTTTGGGTCCTGTGTGTTTAGAAGAAGCAAGTGGCTTCCTGTCCCTATGGGGTTGGGCTCTCAGCAGAGCAGCTCTGCTTTCCGGGCCGTTTCTTGTGGGAGGTCCTCCCCCATCCCCGGAGGTGCTGGGCTTCCAGTGCTGCCCCGGGCACCTTTGGATGTGGACAGTGGGTGCCAGGGGCTGCAGGACTGTGGGGACGATGCCTTGGATCACTGACAGCTGTTTCAGTACAAAGACAGCATGAGGATTTCTTAGCGGGTAGGAAGGAATGGCAGCGGGGCTGGGAGCCAGCCAGCTTTGTCCCGCCCTGGTCCCCTGGAAGAAAAGCCAGGGTCACTTGCACTTGATACCAGCCCCCTCCTTCCCCCTCTGGACACTTCATTTACCTTTCTTCTAAAAGGATCATGTAACCTGGGAATAATTTATTTCATCACCATGATGTGTTTTACTAGATTTCCTTTCCTAGGTGATTTCCAGGCCAAGTCCTGATTGGACAATCATGTCACAAATCACACTGATTTTTCCATGTTAACACTGTTGATAGGTTTTAATCAGTAAAAACTGGGGGGTAGGGGTCTTCTGATGGGTCTCTCCACTTCTCCAAACTGCCAAAAGCTTGTGGTTCTCTGTGACAGGCCTTCGTTTTTGGAGCGGCAGGATGAGCTGGGGGAGCTCTGTGGGCCTGGGAAGGCGGTGCTGTGGAGGGGGCGCAGGGCCAAGCAGCAGGCAGCCCCATCTATTTGGGGGCCAGGAGCAAAGTATGGTCTCCGTCCTCAGGACGGTCCTGGCTGGCTGTGGTTCCTGTGGGGGACATGCAGAGTTTAGGGCTCCTGGAGTGAGTGGCATACTCGACCTTGAGCATGCAGGGAATACCAGTGTGGTGGTGCTTGCAGATTCAAGCAATAAGAGGAGAGGGTCCTGGAAACTTCCAGCCTAGCCTAGGAGCAACCGTGGCTTCTGGCAACTGGTTGTCCAGACCCAGGGGGTGGGGTGACCTTGGTGACGACTATGCCTGTCCTGTTGAGTTGTTACACGCATGAATGGGGGTTGGGGGTTGGGGGGACTCACAGGGCTGAACTGACGTCCTGGCGGACCTGATGTGAAATTCCTGTCAAACAACAAAACTTTTAAATGGTTTGCTAGGATTATTTCTGTATTGAAAGTTTCTAATTATGCTTTTTAAAAAAATACTAAAAATAAAGGTTCAAGCTGCCAAATTTTCTTCCAGGGTCTATTTCCTCTGCTTCCAGCTGTGCTCTGGGTGGGCCTGGCTTCTTCCCACCCATTGTGTGCAGCTCTTGTTTGTTCTGGGCTGAGTTCAGCCCAGGTGCTTGTTGAGGCCCACAGACCCTTTCAGAAGCCAAGTTCGTTTTCTCCACGGAACATTGGTCCAGGTTGAGCTCACCCTCTGGTTTGATGCATAGGCTGGGAGTACAAATGGTGATGCCAGGGGAAGCACCATGTTTATCACCCGCATGCCCGGAAGGATGCAATGGAAGCTTTGCCTGAAGTGATTTCTGTCTGGCTCGAAGTTTCTGCCAAGCTGTAGGGCCTGCTTAAGGGTTGGGGAGCTGTGCTGGCAGGGCCTGCCTGGAGCCGGGCAACTGCAGGCCTGGCAGGGAGCCCAGGGCCCAGTGGACATGGAGGCAGTGCCTTTGGCTGCTGCTCCCAAACGGCCATTGCCAGGGCATCTTCATCCTCCCAGGTGAGTCCAGCCAGTGGGCACCAAGACATGAGGTGACCTCCCAGGTGTGTGAGGGACTCCCTGCTGCTGCCTCTTCAGGGCCAGCCAGTGGCGGTTCTGAAGTCTAAGCTGCAGTCTGAACAGCCAACCCCTCCAGGTACACAATGACTGAGGCAGGAAGCAGGAAGCTCTGTAGAAATTCATTTTATTCTTTAGACTATTTTCAAAAGAAGCAGTGGTTTGTTTTTCTAAAAATATGCCTTTATAGATTTATATATATGTATATTATAAAATCCATACATGTATTTACATAATTGCTACATACAAAATTACAGCACTTGGTATGTACATATCTATAGGTACATTCTTTCCGCTCATCCCTGCTGTGCTTTTCCCATGTACGGAAGGGAGATGATCTTTGTAAAAGTAGCTTGCGGGCTGGCTCAGCCCAGGGGGCCTCTGTGTTGGGGCCTCAGCAGAGAAGGTGGAGTGGCTGCCAAGGAAGCAGCAGGTTAACCACAGGGCGCATCCTTCCACAGGCCTGGAGGGCAGCATCTGGAGGCACTCGCCCCATGGGGCCAACGCTGCCCCTGCAGCGGAGGGGGCAGACTGCAGACCCCTCTGGGGCCATTCTGTGGCCTGGGCTTGGCTTGGCTTGGCTGAGCCAAGAACTTGTGTGTGTGAGGGGATCAGGGGCTGGGGAGGAGGAGGAGACCTCTCCCAGCCCTGGTACCATGAAGGAAAAGGGCTGGATGGCTAAAGCCTGCAGAGGGCCTGTGAGCACACTGGCTGCCGGCCCCAGGAGGGAGAACGCACCACTGAAGGCAGCCAGGGAGGGAAAGCAGGGGTGCCGGAGGGCAGGGCCCTTCTTCCTGGGCTCGGGATGGCTTCAGTCAAGCCCTGGTAGAGCCCACTGTGACGGAGCATGAGGACAGCCCCGGCCAGCAGGCGGGTCTCCTACCCACAGAGGTGCTCCCGGCAGAGCATGCACATGGGAGAGGGGCCTCCTCCTCCTGACTCCCTGGGCTGGTTGTGGGGTGGTGGTGGGGGTAAGTTGGAGGCTCAGGCCTGAGCCTGGTGCCCTGCAGGATTCAGCCCTGGTGACTTGCCAGCTAGGGGCAGTGATGGCCCCCTGAGGCATGCAGAGGAGGGCCTCCATTTCTTCTGTTCCCCATATTCCCACAGAGGAGGGCAGCAATGCCTGGGCTGGATGCAGGAGGGGTGGGAGGGGTGGGTGGCAATCTGTTGGGTTGAGCAGAAGCACCCACCTAAGGGGCTGCTCTGGAGGCAGCGTGAGCCCTGCTCAACAGCAGCAGATTCTGGGGAAACCCAGGCTGGCGTGGCTGGGGGTGGGGACGGCTCCTGCCTGTCCCTCTGACAAGGGCAGCCTTCAGAGGCTGAGCAGGCCCTCTCATGAGGAGGCTCAGTGCGGGCAGGCAGTGCAGCTGCTGAGCCTGGCCCTGGGGACTCTGTGTGTGCAAACGTGCCCACACCCCCTTTTTCAGTTGAAGTCTCCAGTCCACCCTCCCTCTGCGGCCTGACTCCTCCCACCTTAAATTTTCCTGAAGAATGAGAAGAGCCATTTGCCTTCAGCAGTGCTGGGCTCGTCCCCGCGCCCCGCACCATGGGCCCTGGAGAGGGCAGCTGTGAGCGGGCTCCGTTCCTTCAGGTGTGTGTCCATCAGCTGCCGGTCAATGACCCTGTGCATGTCGTCCTGCAGAGGGCAGAGTGGAGGGGGCTGAGCAGGACTCTGACCTGGCGCTGGGGGTGAGTGGGTAGGTGGCACAATGTCAAAGGATGCACGGTGAGATGAGGATGAGGGGTGAGATGAGTGAGCGACTGCAGCCAGGGCCACCCTGACCAAGAAAGATGCGAGACGTGGGGACACACTGGAGCCACGGGACACCTCCAGTCTCCTCAGGGCTTGGGCTGGCTTCTCCCTAGTGTTACCCCCTTGGCTGACCTACCAGATGGCCTGCCCTGATAGGCCCAGAGAATGGCCACTGCTGGTATTTCCCTGTGTCTCCCCGACAGGTCTCCAGCTCAGCCTGGCCTGTGTCCGGCCCTCTCTGCCCTGCCTCGTGTCCCTGGGGGCTGGGCAGGTGCTCGTGCTTAGTACACACACCTCCCCAGGCACTAGGGCAACCTCAGCTTGCCAGCTCTCTGGCCCAATAGCCTGGGCTCAGGGGACTTCTGCCCCTTATTTCTCTCCAAATTATTACTAACTAGCTGCTGAGGCCCATGCCCCACCAGCAGCTCCACAAGGCAGACACAGGCTCCGTAGCCTGCACTCGCCCGCCTGCCACCATCCTGCACTTCAGCCCCCATTGTGCGGCACCGAACACGGGCGCCACCATCCTCCCAGGCTGCCTTGCTCCAACTGAGAGCCACTTCCTCGGCTTCTTCACTGGACTGGCACCTGTCCCCCTCCCCACCTCCAGTTTGGTAAAGTTGCCTAGAAAATGCCCCCATCATCCCGACTCCACCTTCCAGAACAGGAGCTTTTGCCCCACCGGGCACTGGACAGAGCAGCTCCTCTCTCTCCATTCTGGTTGCTAGATTCCGATTCTGCCCAAGATTCCATCTGACCAAGCACAGACCAAGCACAGATCAAGCACAAGAACTACTGGTCTAGAAATACAAGCAGCCCTGCCTAGTTCACACAGGCACCCTAACAGGCACAGGCATCTGGTCTGCCTGAGTCCTTCACCCTGGACCTGATGGGCTCTGGGGCGTCCTGGTGGAGAGACAGGGCTTTGGGCAGACCCTGGAGTGAGGCAGCTCTCAGGCCCATGCAGGCGAGGGGCCTGTGTCGGGCGGCAGCTCCCTGAGGTCCGGGTAGGTGAGCTCTGCGGCTCTGAGCAGCCACTCCCGTGAGCAGGGCAGGAAGTGGGGCTGGTGGCCCCTCCTTGACCAGCCAGTCCATCACCTCCCACGCTCACACCCGTGGGTGCCACTCCAATATCTGCAGGTTTCAGGGCTAAACAAAGGGACTTCCCTGACCACACCACCAGGCGGGGGCGGGTGTGGGCCCCCTGCCCCCTCTCTTGCTCTTGTCCTGCTCTCCTGCCTTCCTCCCCACTGCCCCTCCCCCAACCCTGTCTTTTTTCACGTCCCACTTCCTTCCTGCACCTCTGTCCCTCCTCACAGAAATAGGAGACAGCTCCCTATTTCCCAGGTCCCGGTCTTGAATCCTCAGCACTGAGCCCTGCCCTGAGGACACGCTTGATAAAAAATGTATGGTGTTAAAGTGCAATTTTAGGAATGCTAAAGGCTTCTTCAGAAAAACCCTTTCAAAGCAGCCACTTTTTTCTGGTGCATTGCAAACTACATTTTTTACACTTTAAAATCTGTCAAGGGAATCCCATAAAATACACCACTTTAGACCCTCACACACACACCTGCATGAGCAGCTCATAGTTCCATGCCTGCACCTTCTGTAGGCAAAACCACCTGTTTGTGAGGAGGTGGTACCAAGAAACCAGGGGTCAACTTGTCAGTGCTGGGCCACATGCTGCCGCACTCACTGGCTCACTAGGTGGGACGGTGATGGCAGGAGGGAGCTCGGGCTTGATGGCAGGGCACACTGCACAGGGATGATGCTGGGCTCCGGCACACACAACATGGCAGGTCAGTCATGACGACGGTGGCAGGGGCAGGGCTGTGATGGCAGCAGGGGAGCGGGTGGGTGGGATGAAGGCTCAGTCTCACCTCAAAGGCAGGAGGGGTGTACAACTAAAGCTGTTGGTACGGGAACTGAGAAAGGCCACTAGATCAGAAACCAAAGGAGCCAGATAGTAAAAAGCCCTGAGGAAGCGAACTGCAGCCAGGAGAGAAGAGAGAAGAACGGGGCGGTAAGCCAGGGAACGGCCAGCCGGTCGCCGGGCAGGAGGCCGAGGAGCCAGGGACCAGCTCCGGGGGCAGGGGGGTGCCAGTGCTCCTGCGGCCGTCCTGGCAGGGCCTTCAGAGGGACAGGCACCGCTAACCTGCCCTCCAAGGTGGTAAAGCCTTTACGTGCCTGGTAAAGCCGCAGATGGCTTTTCATCTGTCTGTGATTCCTCGAGGAGAAACATGAACTGTTACATCCACATCCTGAAATTGTACTACCCTAACCTCATTAACAAAAAGCATGCACAGCCCGGCCCCGCGGGGAGCCATGCTAGGCCCGGGACAGGGTGTGCTGGCCTGACTCAGAAAATGGTGGTCTTGGAGATGGACACTGACTCACTTTCTCCAGGCCACACCAGGTCGGTGCCCTTGGGGAAAAAGGAAGCTGGCCTTTGAAAAACGGAAGGCAGCAGCTGCCAGCACCTTAAGGGCTGCTGAACTACATACAGCTGTGAATTTTCATTGAGTCATATAGGGCTTTCCTGGGCCCTCCATGTTAACAGCTGTTTCTTTCTAGCTATTTGAACAGATCCGAGACCACTAGCTGAAGGAGCCCCTGTTCCAAGCTTGGAAGTCACCACAGCCCTAAATGCAGAGCTTGGGGTTCACTGTTCTGGAGAGCTTCCTCAGGCATTTGCCCCCAGGGACTG